AGCAAGCGTGGGTAAGGGACAGGGAGACGGGTCGCTAAAGGGGACGGGTAACGACCGTTGGATGAGGAGGATGTACGGTTAAAGCGTTCTAGTTAGCCACCATTTAAAGTAGTTAGCTGCGGTTAGCCCGATAAACCGTGGTTCTTCAAGGTGGACATCGGCCCTTCAAGGTCGGCCTTGGTCTATCATTGGTAGACCTCGTTCTTTCACAAAGGCAGACCTTATCCTCTTCGGCCGATAGACCCTCGGCTCTGGTCCCTGAAGACTGACCTTAGGCCTTCATCAATGGACCTCGGTCTTTCGTCAATGGACCTCGGTCCTTAGACGATAGACCTTGGTCTTTCGGTCGATGTGCTCTCGGCCCGGGTTTTGAAGGTCGAACTGGGTCGTTCATTAATGGACTTCGGTTCTTAGTTAATAGACCTTGGTCCTTTGGTCGATGGCCTCTCAATCCCAGCCCCTGAGGTCGACCTCGGTCCAGAGGTTCAGCTACCCTTGCCAATCAGAGTCAAGAATCAGGCCTCAGGATGATAAAGTAAAGGAGTTAAAAGATTGGACCGTATTTAATACTATTCAACTTGCGATCTACATAGCACACCTCCGTCGAGCTTTTGAGATGCTTACCAAGTCTACCCACCTGTTCCGGGAAGAGATACAATTGAATCCCCCGTCGCAAACAGTTGTGTGGTATGACCCACGTGCGAATAGAACCCCAGAATATATTTGTCCTGTGTGTTCGTCTAAGTCAGCACCCCCAATCGACCCAATATCGGAAGCGGTCTCCCTACCCTAGTGGTTCGGGAGCAAGTAAAGGCCAGGCGGTTATCATCCCTAAGATATCAAGAAAATGGAAGGAAAAGACCAGGGTTGAGCATATTCCCTAAAGAACTTGATTATAAGTCCACCTCGAACTAGGCGACCGAGTGGACACCTATTCGCCTACCGAGTGAAGTATACCCACTCGAGGCACTCCAAGGTCGAACTATGTCAAGTCCAACATCACATCTCAACCAAGCCCTCCGAAGAGTGCAGCCCGCCAGCTGACGAGTACACACACGGTGAGAGAGGTCTATATGCGGCATCGGGGTACCCCCTCCGACAGTCGGAAGTCCGGCACAGTGAGTGGCTGCGGTCTCATAACGCAGTTTTAGAACCCACTCCACCATAATGGTGCGCGTGCCGGGACCTGTGGAAGACGCGGGATAACACCGCGCGTCCCAAGCAGATGAAGATGTTCAAGCAAATATTGAGGAAAAGACCGAAGAGCCACTAAAGCCCAAGCCTGACGCGTTCTTGGAAAGTGACCCCGTCACCAAAGTCTTCGAGATCCGACTGCTGGGTCAATCAGTGCACCTGTGTCGACTCTTCCCAGGCTGAGGACGGTGATAGACGCGATGACCGCGCTCGTTGACCCTTTCTTCGTGAGGCGGGTATGGTCTGCAGGAAGGCTCGAGCCTGAAGACTTGTTTTACCTGGGGCTCGACCGTATCAAGACCACGTTTGAAATTCTACGCAAACATTTGAGGATCCTCATTGGAATAACCCCAGTACTACTCGACATACCTCCGGCAACCGCCGCGAAGGCAGCATCCGCAGACAGCCAGATGACCCTGCAAGACATCGAGGTCCACCCTCAAACCAATGCGACGAGGTCCCATGGTCGACGCGAGGTCTATTACAGACCACCTTGCCTCGTGGTCCTCAGGTCCCTGCGAGGCAATCGTCGCGAGGGTCGTCCGTCGTTAGTCACGTGAGCCGAATGCCGCTAGGACCGACTGGCATGACACTGCTTCAGGCCCGAGCGACGGAAGACGAGCAGCAAGCTTACGAAACGGCAACGCGTGTACAGCCCATGGAAGTCAGTCTTCTATTGTGTCGACTCTTTTAACTAATCAGAAAAAAGCCAGGACTAGTATCGAATGTTTCTCCTTCACGTGACGAAGCTGCTTAGGGAGGATCGCCAACCAACCCGGTAGGCAATTTACAGGCATACGTCGGCGCGGCGATGGAAAAATTCCTACTAGAATGCCAAGTACCGCAAACACACGTTGATGGAAGTGCGGCCAGAGGGCTACAGAGGGCGCTGAGGTCGATGGCTTATCCGGGACCAAGTGTAGGTATGCAAGTTGTAACAGACCAAGCTATAATTGATGTGGATACGAAATAGGTCTGCTCTTGTGTATACTATCCGGAGGGTACGTGGAAGTGCGTCTGAAAAGGTTGACCTCGGATCAATAGAAGTTGTGGGTCACAAGAGTAGAGCGGTGGGTCACGACCATGAACCAAGGGTAGGAAGTCGGAAGTTCCTGAAGGTAACTAGAGTCAGTGCCCAACACCAGGACACCAAGTTAGGTATGTGGTTATTGAAGGACTAAGTACCAAGGCGCAGGGCTTTGTATCGGTGGGGTCTCGAAGATATGCCGGATGGCTGAATCTGGTGTATGAATCTACCAACGACCAGGTCGACTATGAGGAGGATCTGACGGAGAAGGATGAAGAGCCATTGGTGGAGACATCACAGTACAATATTCCATTTAGAATACTTAAGCGACCAAGGGTACCCGTCCCAGTAATGACTATGACATTCCAGCCAAAGACTGGTCAGGTAGACCAGGTATTCTATCGGGTCGAACCGGAAAACTAGCAGGTCGACTCAACCCAGAATGACGAATGGTCAACTGTGGACCATCGGTTTGCGGATGATCCGCCGTGGACATGTCCAGTTGAGTGCCGAGCAATTTAAGACTGTCGTCCAAAACTTACCCGTAAAACGGGGATCTTTATCCGAGACGATTGCCACAGGCAATCCGTGTTGTCGAAACACACGATCCATGAACAGGTTAGCTGTTCGTTCTCCATCAATGGAGTCCGGCACTGCCGCTAAGTGAGACATCTTGCCCAGTCGGTGAACAAAGATTACAATCCCAGTGTTGCCTGAAGACCTTAGGCGCAACGCGGATTGCTACTAGTGGGGCTCTGGAGAGTCATGAAACCATCTCTGCTAGGCAGCAAAAGCGCTTTTTTGGCGTGGATATTAGACTAAGTCGGTCAATATGTTGGATGTCGGAATATACGACTTAGTAGACACCGTAAGTGTCGAGGACAATAAGCCTGGGCGAGGCCCAATAAATGTCGATAGTGTGGTTGAGAGCCCACTAGATGGCACTTATGACATGTGTCATGAGAATGATGTTATATTATTAAACACCATGAGTGGTGTTGGTGGCTGCAAGCCAAGATATAAGGACATTAGTACAAGTGACATGAGTGACGAGGGACTAACCCTGGAGGGCCAAACCGTGACGTTCAGTGCCTCAAGCATACATTCGATGACCATGGCAGCAATGAGAGTTCTCGACTCTTGTGCATATGCCGCAAGCTCACGCTTGCCTTGGCGACACGCCAAAACCGCGACCGATTAAGGTGTGCTTGGTTTGGCGGTGCATACTGCCGGGCCATCTAAACTTTCGGATCAGCCCATGTGGGAAAAGCATCTTGCAAGGCGCAAAAGAAGGCATCTGTGCCTTTACATGCTCGACTAGAGCTTTATTGTATTCTCCAAGCATATGAATACGCTTGTTAACCTCTTCTTTGCCTTGGACAATGAGTTACTCCACGCCCTTAGGGCCAAAGATAGGCAGCAGCTTTTGCAACCCTTCCTGTTGTGCCTGTGACAGGCCAACCGCTGACATCACATCGATGTCCATTCTCACACAGAGAAGTAGTCGCAAACCAGTTCCGGGATTGACTACAAGTGCTACCAGGTGTAGCCGAGCCACTGTAGCTACGCTACTTATGCACAATGTGCAAAGGAAGGCAAGCTCAGAGAGCTTCTGCGTCTTAGGGTGTTTATCCCTCCTAGGCTAGCTCGTAAGAGGTGCCTATCGGTTGGTACAACCGGTCTCAGATAGACTAGTATTAAAGATATAATTCCTCAGGAGGAATAGTAAGCTCTAGCAGTGATGCTTATCGAACAGGTTTGAAACTGTTATATTTATGTTTATCTTCTAACACTAAATATAGAAGCACCTATCCTATACTTAGTGCTAGTCACTATTACTGGCTCTTCAGCCTTTTATTAGTATGCAAACATGCATAGTCACTATACTTTAACTAAGTATAGTGACCACATGTCTCTCTGCCACGATGCGGCCCTTCGTACTTCAGGTACGGTCACATTAAGGCTACTCTTGTACTCAACGTACAGCCACACCACATTGTTGTGGCAGGTGTGTATGTAAAATACACACCTCGTGTGACTCCTTTACATTTGGGGTCCCATTACGCAGTTTGAGAACCTACTCCACACATGTATATCTATAGTACTTGATTAAGTAATATAACCACGTGGTTTTATGCCACAACGTGAGCCCATTGAGCCTTAGATACGGCTTTATCAACCTAACCAATGCACCCATATACAGCCACACCAAAATGTTGTAACAGGTGTGCATTTTACACTATAAGCCCGTTACATTTACTGACAACATATTATCACCATATAGTTTTCCTGATAATTACTCCAATAGAGTTGTCTTATAAGTATCATACATATTGTTGATGCCTTTATTCTCTACAAAAAATAGTGCATGATACGCATACGGCTTACTTAATGTCTCATTGATCAAACAAGCATTAGAATGTTGTAGCTAAGCCTAATTTTTTATGTCTTAGTTTTAGATTTTCTTACAATGTTTACCCGAATGTGCATGTCTACCAGTATACACGCACCGAATGTGCTGGTGGAATTAAGTTGCGTGACACATTAGACGTAGACGCTTGTGTGTTGGCCTCATCGGCTTGTAACTGCAACGCCAACATCTGGGATAATCTATGTGGGCGACTAAGGTATTTTTGTGCTTAAATTGATGTGTTCGCTAGTGTCAATTTGTTTGTACCATATTCATAAATGTGTGCTTTACATCAAATTGTGGCGATATCTACAAAACCAACTCAAACGCTCTTCTGGATAGCTCCCTCCCCTTTCTCTGCTTAAGATAATGAGTGCACAGACAACGTTCTCGCAAACGCCTTCATATCAGGATCTTTGTGCGAGCTCAAAGGACGTTGCTACCGAAGAATTTCTTGTCTTTGAAGGTGACAAATTACTTATTACACAATTAGAGTCTAATTAGTGCAATCTATCTCTAATTTTGCTGACCTAATATTTCGCTCGTTGTATGTAGAACTAAAACGAATCATTTTTTTGCTGGATACGGTTGTAAAAACTAATGCAAAGGAGAAAATTCCGCGTATTCTTCGCACAACAAGCAAGTTGCGCAAGACACTGTCGTTGGCGCAGCTGCAGCAGGCCGTGGAACAACTGTTGCCCGCGCAGAACACGTCCAAACTCATGCTACTCGCGCTTCTAGCGAAGATTGGAACCAAACTGCAAATTAATTCTATAAAGTTCTTGTGACACGAAGGATCAGGATGTCAAAATGACCGATGGGTCGCCAGAAATGGAGGCTACAACTGCTGCCATTGCGCCTGCGATGCTGCCTGTGGTGGATCTGATTGAAGTGGAGATATATCTGTTTTTGTATGTGTTGGCGGCGCTGATAAAGTACAAGCTTGCGATAGAGGCGCTTGAAACGGTAGACAAAGTGATATTGCGATGCCAGCAGTTCAACCGTCGCACGCTTGACTTATTCCAAGCCAAGGTCTTTACATACTACTCAAATATTCACGAGCAGTTTGGTCACGACCTGCCTGCTATCCGCAACACTTTACTGGAAGCTTACCGCACATCGTGCTTACGTTACGACGAGGCTGGGCAGGCTACACTAATTAATTTGATGCTACGCAATTACCTAAAGGAGAATCTGTACGAACAAGCCTATAAGTTTGTTAGCAAGACAACATTCCCGGAGACGGTGTCAAATAACCAGTTTGTCCGCTACTTGTACTATGTGGGCAAGATCCAGGCCGTGCAATTGGAGTACACTGAGTCGTACACAAAGCTGATGCAATCTATTCGCAAAGCTCCAGCCAACACGGCGTTTGGTTTCCGACGCACTGTTTACAAGCTCGCAATTATTGTGCAGCTGCTTATGGGTGAGGTTCCTGAACGTAACGTGTTTAACCAGGACGAACTTCGTAAGGCGTTGGCGCCGTATCTGCAACTCACCAACGTAATTGTATTGTCTACATATACTTGTGCTCAACAAAGCTAACAATATCTTGATGACATATTTGCTAATGTGATTAGGCCGTTCGCGTGGGTAATCTTGAGGAATTTAATGTGGTTTTGTCACATTTCGGAGCAGTTTTTAAAAAAGATAACACTTACACGCTTATTCTTCGGTAAGTAAGACCTGCTTTGCTAGCTATGTCAATTAAGCTGCAGTTGAGCTTTTGTCAATTAAAATGATTAATATTTTGTCGTATACTCATTTGCTGCGATTAGCTTGCGTCATAACGTCATCAAGACAGGCCTGCGCAAGGTCAGCTTGTCGTACTCGCGAATTCTTTTCACGGACATTTGTGAAAAGCTTGCACTGGAAAACGCACAGAACGCTGAATTTGTGTGTGCTAAAGCTATTCGGGACGGCGTGATCGACGCCGTGATTGACCATGATAATGGCTGGCTGCACCTCAAGGAAATAGTGAACGTGTACACTACCGACGATCCGCAGATGGCCTTTCAGAGGCGTATTACTTTTTGCCTAGACGTGCACAACGAAGCTGTTAAGGCCATGCGTTACCCTCCAGATGCCTACAAGAAGGACTTGGAGAGTGCCGAAGAGCGCCTGGAGCGCGAAAAGCAGGAGGAGGAGCTTGCTAAGGAAATTGAGGATGAAATGGATGAAGGACTGTAATTCAACTCTTATTGTGCTAGCCTTGACCAATAACGCTTGCAAAAGTTGTTTTTGTCCTGTGCTGCGGTGCAGTTCCATCTCAATCATACAACGATTAATGGCAATACAAAAACATGTCTGACCGCATACACAAGAATACTCTGACTCGCCAAACTGATGTATTGTTGCCTCGACACGCTACCGTAATTCCTTCCTGCGGTCTTGTAACTTCTTGTCACATAAACAGCTTGTTGTACAAGCCATCCTCTCTGTTACTTCTTCTGAGCCCAAAGTGGCGCCTGGTAGCGGTCCGAGTGGTATGGCGATTGACCAGCCACCCAACCAGGTACGTTCTTCATCACCTGGCGCTCCTTTTCCAATATGTGTTTCTCCTGCTCCAAATACTCGACATCAGCCTCCGCCTGTAAGAACGCAAGCAATGCAATACGATTTTCACGCTCCTCCTTGGCCACTTCACGTTGGTGCTTGTTGTGTTGGCCAACAAGATAAAAGCCAACAGACGTGACGACAAAAGTGCCGAGAAATAGCGACCACCCCGGTGGTCCACGCTTGACTGGACCGTTCTTCACGAACTTAACGCGATTGAAGCCATCCGATGGCGGCATTTCCTGGTTGGGCGCATGAAAGTTGGGCGTAGCCATAGCTATGATTTGATCAGGTTAATAGAGAGAAAGAGGAGAGACGAGGGAGGGAGGGGGGACGGATGTCTCGGTAAGGCAAGTTTTATGCATTCTAGTTGCATTCTATCGGTTTAGGGAGGTATCAAGTGGCTACGTATTGAATTATTTTGGTACAATTAGGGTTGGCGTACAAAGTATACATTCTCTAAGTCAAATATAACAGTTATTTAGGAAAACAGGTTGTTCGCCACTAACTTCTATGGCTAAGAGCATCTGTCCCACTTGTTCCTGTACAGAGATTGATGTAGTGGATATTAGTGGTGAGGCAGTATGTGTCAGCTGTGGTACAATTCTTGAGGAAAACAATATCGTGTCTTCTATCGAGTTTCAAGAGTCCAGCGGCGGTGCGCACTCTGTCGTGGGGCAATTTGTATCGGCCACAGCCTCTAAATCCTATGGTAACATTGGCACTAGTGGAAGAAACTATGGAGTTGAATCTCGCGCTAATACTCTTGCCAATGGCAAGAAAAAGATTCGTCAAATTGCAGGCATGTTGAGACTCGGAGACCATTACGTGGATTCGGCCTTTCGTCTTTTTGCGCTGGCACTGCAGCGCAACTTTACGCACGGCCGCAAGACGCAGACAGTTATTGCCGCATGTATATATATTGTTTGTCGTCGAGAGCGCTCGCCGCACTTGCTAATTGACTTTTCGGACAAGCTACAGATCAACGTGTACGTACTAGGCGGCGTCTTTCTTAAATTTTGCAAATTGCTGCAGATCCACCTGCCGCTCATTGACCCTTCGCTCTACATCCACCGCTTTGCGTCGCAACTCAACTTTGCAGGAAAGACACACAGTATTGCTACCACGGCGCTGCGCCTTGTGGCCACTATGAAGCGTGACTGGATTGAGACAGGTCGCCGTCCGTCGGGTATATGTGGTGCAGCTCTGCTTATTGCAGCACGCTCGCAGTCGATAACGTGTAGTCTGCACGACGTCATGGATGTCGTTAATATTGGAGAACGGACGCTCAAGCAGCGGCTGTACGAGTTTTCACTTACCCCGACAGCACAATTGACCTACGACCAAGTTGGTAAGCTTGAAATGTCGCGCGTTGAGTGTGACCCGCCTAGTTTTCAGCGCCACCGTGAAAAAGAAGTTATAGAAATGATGCTAGCGAAATCGGAAATATTGTCTTTGGAGCAGAAGTCGGATTTGAAGCAATTGAAAAGGGTACGAAGTCACTTGGATGACGATAGTGATGACGAATGTAAGGGCAGCGCCCTTGCCATAGGCTTGTTGGGCAAAAATACGCAGCTTATAAGGGATGAGGAAATGTCGCGTCTCTTGAGTGGCGTTGCTTACTGTAAGAAAAAACAAGCACAAGCTTTACTCGGTAGCAATGGCGCAATTGTACGATTTAATGGTTTGTTGAATGAAAAAGGCCTTGCTGGTGGAGATGACGACGAAGACATTGATTATGGATTTGACAACGCAAATGACCAGATTGTTAACCGTGCAAGTCGTTTGGCAGCACATGAGGTTTTGCTTCATGTACGTAAGAAATCGGCTCGCTACATGATGCGAAAGCGTGATGAGACGACCTTTTACAAGACAGTAGAACGTGATCTGACATTGGCACTTGAAGAGGACAATTCATTAGCAAAGGTTAGCCGAAGCGGAGAAAAGGGAAAATCTGACAACGCCAATGGTAATACTGAGCATATTACTAATTCTACGTTCTCAGCAGACGATGAAGACTGTAGTCCAAAAGCAAGGAGACGAAGGCCGCGTGGCATAGCTAATGCTAGTATTGATCGCGAAGAGTGGGGAAGACAAAGGCTAAGTGGTGATACATATGAGCACGAAGAAGCTATTGAAGACTTAAATGCCGAAGACAAAGTGGTAGAGGAAGAGGTTGCCATGGGGAAAGAATGTTTTGAGGAGAAAATTGTGGATACGTTGTCCGACTTGGACGATGATGAAATCAACTCATTATTGTTGACACGAGAGGAGGCGGAAAAGAAAAGGCTATTGTGGGAGAAGATGAACAAAGACTTTATTCAAGAGCAGGTATGTTCGAATTAACACGCCAGTGCCCCGGCTTAATCTCAATATGCTTATGTTAGATATCTTTTGATTGGTAACTGTCCTACAGGAACAGAAGCGGCTACTTAGTTTGTTGGCACCTGACGTTTCAAAGAAGAAAAGGAGAAAAAAGACTCTTGATGTGAACGCACCGCCTCCGGACACGGCGCAACACGCAATATATGTGAGCATACGTTAGTGGAGCATACCTTGAATGTCTTTACATTATTCTATCTAACCTAAAACCTTTGGGTGTAACAGAAATTAAAAAGCCGAAGAATCAACTACGAAGTCATCGACGAACTGTTTGGGGAAGCGGCGAGCAACGGTTTTTAATACGTATTGCATCATAACTTTGCAAATTGGAAAAGTGTGACAAGCTTGTATTTTTCGTACGTCTGGTTTGGTGTTTGTGACGATAACTTGCGTGGTCTGTAAAAACTGGACACAATTTCTAAAGGAGACATATGGCAGTGTGGCAATTGCAACGACGCTTGCTTTTGATTCACACGGCTAAATATTAATTTGATTGCTATACAGGCTAGAAATACTACATCATGGAGTTTATTATTGAAAATTCTTAATGGTCTAGTCTGTGCTTGACGGCATTGTTGTCGAAGCATAAGTGTAACATATATACATTCACAAGCTTGAGATAAGCTAAAACAGCAGGTGTCGAACCTGTAGTCAGCATAGCAGTCCCTCTAGATCATCCAGCAGCAAATCAGCAACCTTACCAAATTCGTTACCACTGTACTTGGTCGCGACGGCAGTCAACTCGGTCGGTTGAATCAAAATTGAGGACAGGTCCTGTGTGCACGGGACAATCGCCTCAACTGCGTAGCCTGTGATTTCTACAAGGCGGTAGTTCCACACAAGGCTTGGTGATTGATTTTCAACGTAGCAGTTGGCTGCGAGCAAACATGCACACGCTACAATTGAGGGCTCGTAGGTGGCGCTAAATGTAAAGTCAAGCAGTGAACACTCTGCGAAATAGTTAGCCAATTGCTCAATAATCTTGTCGTCTTCGTCAAAGTGCTCCAGATAAAACCCCAGGAATGTGCTGACGCTAGGCACAGCCAGATTGAACTTGAATACGTTAAGTAAATCTCGTTCACAGTCAATCAAGTCCGTCTTGGAGTACGACCGCTCACAAATATACAGGAGATCATTCATATCACACGGATAAATTTCTTCAAACTTGGAGGCAATCAATAATGCTGCCACCCCTACAAGTTGGAAACGTTGAGGAATCACTGATTCCTGTGCCAGATATCGGTCAACATAGTTGACAGTCAGAAACAAAGTTTGTGCCTCAAGCTCAAAACGCTGGTGCACTTCAATCAGCCAGTCCACAAGCACAGCACGCATCCTCGGCCGGACGCTTTGTTGCTTGGCAAAAATATCTTCAGTCACGTGGTACCGGTGTTCCCGCGCTCGTAGGCTTTGGTAGATGGAGCCGCCGTACTCATCCACCGTGCCCAGGCAGTACGTTTCAGGTAACGAAGTGTGCGGTCGTATTAAGGACGAATAAGAATCAGACGTGCTTGAGTTCTGGACGGGCATGACTTCGTGTGCCGAATACAACGACTCTTTTTTCGCATTTATTTCGTCCTGGTCCAATGTATTGGCATCCTCGGACACCTTAGTCAACTCTATTTTGACTTCATACACAACATCCAAACACTCCAGCACTCTATCAGACTCAGTCTTAAACGAATTGTCATCGAAAAGCTTATCCTTGCTAAACCACGGTGAAGCAATTTTTTGCACATTTTCATCCAAAATTTCCAGAATTCTAGGTGGCTCTATTGTCTTAAGCGCACCCAACACCGTAGACATTCTAAGCAGCATTTCCTCGTTCAGATTGGTCTGGATTGAGTTTTTTACTACGGCTTCCTCTTTGTTCTCGTTGACGGCCTTCACATTACCGCCAACGTACATCAAAGCAGGGGAAACCTTTTTTCAAAAACTTGAATCGATGTCTCGCCGCTGCATTGTGTCAGCGTGTTGTCGAAAGGAGGCGCACATACACCATTAAGCTCGGAAGTGCTGCAAAATTGGCCCTGCGACTCTTTCTCGACATTGTTGTAGCTGTCGAACATTCCGCTGCCATGTTGATCAATCATCTCATCCTCAGGACCCATCTCCACCACTTCTGAGCATTTAAAGAGTGAACTTGGTCTTCGCTGCAGTGCAGGGGGAGGTAAGACCTCCAAGGACACAAGATCGTTTGCATCAATGGTCTCTTCTTCCTTCAATGCTTTGTACGCAACCGACTCCAAATTTTGCGTAAAAGCCACCGCCCTCTTGATGTCGACAGCTTTATAATTAGTAGGAAGCTTGGAGTCACATGTATACCGACAGCTACCCAAGAAAACTGGCAGGATTTCGTCGTCCTCTTCGTCCACTGTACTGTAGCCGCCCAGTGAATCGTAAAATTTACGTTGCGCAAGCTCCATTGGAAGCTGTGGTAAGTCTTCCTTGGCTTTTGCTTCTGTCGTTACGGTTGTGTCCGCCACAGCAGACTTTGTAGCAATACATAAAGGACTTGCTATCTGCAAAGGTCGGGATACGTCTTGTTGCCCCACACTTGGTTCACTACTTTCATTTCCAACGGCGACCTTTGTAAGTTCGGAAGAAGAAGCCAAATCAAGTGGGACAGCCAAGACTTCCAATAGCTTGCCTCTGGGCCCAAAGCTGGGTATCGACCGCTCCTTGTCGTCTAACGCCTCGCCCACGACCGCCTGCAGGTGTTGCGTATGACGCTGTTTGCGCCGCGCCCGCCGCGCCTCCCGGGCAGCTCTGCGCGCCGCCTTTCGTTGCTGCTTTGAGCGCCGCTTCTCTTGCCGCTGCTGCACACGACGCTCGTGGTTTTCATTGTCAAACGCGTCACGCAGCAGCTTCCACTGCGTCTTGAATAGCGACGAGATTTTCGTAAACACCATGACGTTGTCGTTACGCTTTTAATGATATATGAGCAATCGACTGCTTTCGACTACACTTGAACTAAAGGGAAAATTCTTTTTACAAAGCCCTTACTTCTATGGCTTGCTCAAGAATTATAAGTGTTGATGCTGCAGTTTCCTGGCAAATGCCACAGTGTACAAGGTCTAATAATGTGGAACCACCTTGTGGATCATCTCCAAGCGGGTGTGGTACTACTATGCTTTATTGTGTCCCTTTTATAAAGACGTGGTATCTGACAATTGTACGGATTTGGCTTTTCAACGTTACAGATATGTTAATTATATTTAGCAATAAAATGCAAACATAGAGGTTTATATGACACAAACTTCAAACATCAGCTGATCATTTTTACGAAGACTATCAGATACCACGATGTAGAAATGAAACAAGTAGCGAAAGATCATGACGAGCGAACCCACCTATGGGAGACATGTGCGCACATGGCCCCGACAAGCAAACATCACACTCAGCTTATTTTATTTCACAAGCGAATTCTACTGTGAGGTATCATTAAGATGACTATTACGGGGCGGTGAAAATTTGCGTGCTCGATTGGTCAGTTTCAATGTCTTGCAGCATCGCGGCGATGTGGCTATTGTTTTAATTTGCTTTGTCACTTTCAGGGCAACGTTACGAGCCTGTTCCCGAAACCAATTCAGTTTAGCTCAATTATGTGCTTTCTCTAACCATTTCGTCTGTCATTCACATGATAAACCGTAGAGAAATTGTTTCAATACAAGCTTTAAAATAACAAAAGTTAAATGTCTCATGTATTTCTTATCGCAAGTAAACGAAACGGCAAATTTGATAGAAACCAACAAAATATTCAACTAACACGTACATAGTAATCTTGTTTATAAGTTATCATCGCTCGGGCAAATCTACTGATACTACACTATTTCACTTCCATCCTTTGATTCTAGCTAGCCATATATGCCAATTCTCATGAACTTGTATCTAGATGCTCTAGAAGATGTCCATTTTGCTTTTTTAAATACTATAGTCATTTTAACGTACGTCTAATTTGATAAGCATTGCGCTATTCAAGAAAAAGTTGGGATTGCTGTTTCTTTGATGTTTCGATTGAGAAGCATCTTTCAAGAACGTGCCAGACAAAAGCAAGACGGATTTCTTCTTTTCAAAGGACACTCGTGATCTTTCAAGACGTCTTCGTCGAAGTCTCTTTGATCATACAATTCCACTCTGGCGAGCAAAATAAAGGTAGAGACCAACGTGTTGGCAATCTCTTAAAATGGTATGACGAAGAGCTCCCGAACTGCAGGATGACAAGGTGGTTTGTATTGTGCTTCCAACTATACACTTACCGCGACGCCGACAACGACAAAACACAAAATTCAGCACAGTCTGCAGTCGGGTGTCAAAGTCAGGGGCACTTGCGTTGACTCACCTCATAGAATGTCCGCGAAAATACTCCGGGCAGTGTTGGACGTACGTTATGCAGATTTTGCTACCGCCAATGCTTGCATTTGAAACAAATACGTAATAAGGAGAGTATCTTATCAGCGACAACTCCAAAGAAACTGATTTGGAAAGAGCATTTAGCCCGGATTTAGCGGCACAGTGGAAAAAAGGTGCGTTTACACAACAGACAAGACCGTGGCCGCACAAGTACGGCCTGCCTTGCAACCTTCGCCAGCCGTGGCGCTGGACAAGACGCACAAGGTTGGGGAAATGAACGTGCTCGCCACCTGCGAGAAAAAACAGATGGCTAAATGATCATCAAGAACGGGATCATGGGTAACCACAATAAGACGGCGGTCACTACAAGCCAACTGCGTACCTTCTCTTCATCAAAATAAGGAATTGCAGAAGGATCTTTACCAGCAACACGCCTGGTGTCACCAAAACACAGATCTGAGTACCTAGAATAGACGAACTTGAAGGCAACTGCGCACTTATTACTATTCGTTGTAAAAGAAAATCATGAGATTCTTGCTAATGCCTGTATGGACGATAGCGTCATCTGAAAGGTTTGCGAGAGTTACTTTGTGTGCAAGGGTTAAAAAGCTGCTTACACAAGGTTTTTAAGTGCTGATTCATTTGCCTGCTACTGTGTACACTTTATTCAGTTATTGTGTCTGTAAATTTAAACCTGTCCATTTACATTGTAGCAATCGAAAATAAGAAAAAACAGCGATAGTATCAAGGTCCATTGCGAGCTTATCAGAGCAAAGCTTTAGTTTGCATTTTAAAGTACACTAGTCGCTTAAACTTGCAAATTACGATGGTACTCAGGTTTATGAGCTTACACAGTGTATTAATTTTATTGGTTGAGACATCTCTGAATGCCAAATAATTGTTATTCTCTGAATTACAGGACACTAGTGTCCAAACATGTCAGGACCGTTGGGCAGAATCATCGCACAAGTAGTAGTTATGGGTGCGGGAATTGTATCTAAAGCCTTTGTACAGGCCTACCAGCAGGCTGTGCATAATGCACGTTCAGGAAACGCCGGTGCTATGGCTACGAAGACGGTGGCACGCAAGAATCAAATGTCCAAGCAGCAAGCGCTCGAGATCCTAAATTTACCCACAAGCGGTAGGGCCCCGTCTTGTGAAGAGATTCAAAAGCAGTTTACAAGGTACTTTGAGGCCAACGACCCGGCAAAGGGCGGCTCTTTTTACCTGCAGTCCAAGATATTTCGAGCGAAGGAGGCGTTGCTCAAAGACCCGGTAAACGAATCATCACGTAACAAGACAAATGGTGAATAGGCAGCTCAAATTGTGCATGCTATTGTTTTCGATATCTAAAAACAACGCGGATTTGTAAGCTTAGACTGGGACAAAAAGTTACTTATACAAAGCTAGACCATTTTCGTCGTTTAAATAGCAGAGCTATTGACATGCTTCTTAAACATAAATTCCTATCGAACAGTTTTGACATTATTGACCACTGAAATGCTTTGATTGGTTAAAAATATGTTACTTTGCTCCTCCTTACAGATACAAAATCGACTGAACAATGCTTGCGAGTGTGCGTACAGGCAATACCCTAATAAAAGCGGCGGCGCAAAACGGTACAGTGACATTAAGCACGACTGGCCGTGTATCGTACGAGAAAGTTTTAGCCGGAGCCGACACTAAGCAGGTAGAGCTCATGAAGGAGCAAATTGTGCAGGTGGACGAGCAGGGATACGTGATAGGGCCAATCAGCAAGAAAGATGGTAGAGTTGGAGTTTGCCATAGCCTTAGTTCTGACATACTTAACAGTAAATCGGCTAAGAGTATTGTAAACTTGATATGCACAGCGCATATCCATGATGGCGTGCTGCACCGCGCTTTCAGTGTCTTTGTCTTCAATTCTCAAAACGAACTACTGATTCAGAAGCGTGCACGCAACAAAATCACGTTTCCTGGTTTTTGGGCTAACACGTGCTGCAGGTAGTACTCCATTGTTGTTGCATTCCTCATCAAAAAGTAGTCGTATCTTTATGTGTGATATTTTATTCGTGTAGCCACCCACTCTATACTAAAGATGAGCTTGAAGATGGTATTGGCGTAAAGCGTGCAGCCATCCGAAAACTGGAACATGAGCTCGGTATACCCACCTCAACATTTGCCATAAACGATCTGACCTACGTCTCCAGAGTCTTGTACAAGGTAACACCGCAACTGCGATGTCTGCTGTACTGCACGCAACATCTTGAATTTTCGTTGATGGTTGCAGGCCGCATCTGATGCCAATTGGACGGAGTACGAGATGGATCACATCTTATTTGCTCGCGGGGATGTTTCGTTGAGCAAAGTTAATGAAAACGAGGTCGAGCAGGTTGAATTTGTTGCGCGTGATAACTTGCAGACACTTCTTAGCAATCCCAAGCGAAAGTTTTCGCCGTGGTTTCGCCTCATTGGCTCAAAGATGCTGCCGAATTGGTGGAACGAACTCGACACTGTGCTGAAGAACGACAGCACCTGCCATCAGATTCATGACTTTCGCAAGTCCGCCAACGCTCAGGTACAATCGTTTTGGATGCCTGCCTCACAGATATAAAGTGAGCAATCGGCCTTGGTAGGAATATGTGGCTTATGATTTACAAAACGGTTTATTTGTTTGCCATCGTTCGAAATTGCAAAGACATCTTCCAAAACGCGATAAATAGCCGTCCTAAAATATAAGTAGCTTTAGGTTGCTCACAGTCAACTTTACAATTTCGGCTTCTGTAATAACTGTAACCTATGCTTAATGCGCAGAGACGGCAAGTGGTCGATGCCGGAAAAAAAGGCACCACGTGCGATGGTTCTGTAATGACATTTTGCTCCAAATAATACTTCTGATATGGCCAGATAGCAAATAATGCTGAGACATGCATCACTCCCAATATCACGATTATTGTAAGCGAGATTGGCAAAGCCACGATGGAGACTGCTTTGGTCGTGTACCCCTTTAAATATTAATACCTTTTTTGCAATTTCCTATGCGTTAGCTCTGTGTTGCTAGTACCGTGTTCTTGCCTTTACAAGAAATTACCGCATGTATACTTCTGACACACAATATTAATATGTTTACTTAGTTGCATATTACAGCAATTTTGTCGGCTCATTTCTCTGACAACAGTGCTAGTCTTCATAACTCTGGCATGAGTAAACGCTCATAAATTACTTATTCATATATATTCTTAGTGTCTGATTCTCAACCTTATTAAGCGTCATTCTTTACGAAAGTAAACGGTCATACACAAACATATTCGACCTGTCAAATTCGAAGAGTACTTTTGTATTGGCCTTAAGATATAGGCTATATACTGATTGGATGCCTCCACTGACTTTCGAGCGATCAGACATCATTCTACGCAGTCCAACTTGTTGAAGAAAATTTTACTGAGCTGGTTGTTTGTTGCTCAACGGCCGCAAGAGGAAAAAACCAGCTTGGTCATGTATCAGCTACAGTTACGATCTCGGATTAGTAACAGACAAGCGTAAGTGCATCGGAATACAGGACGAAACTCATTATCTACGATAATGTGACTATTTGCAATAATATTTCTTGTGTTTCTTCTCTTATCATGTAGGAGGCAATATTTTGCACACAGCTCAAGTTTCTAAACTTGTAAAAGTTTATAATTGATAGAAATTAACCTACGTATCCGTTTTGCCTAGCATGAAAATTATATCAATCTTTATAGATAATTACCAAAGTGGTCATAAAAATCCAAATTTTTAAATTGCCAAATATGGTCCAACTAAGTAGCCTATGCAAAAAAAATGCGCATTAAGTACGCAAGAATTGCGATGCAGCTCGTCGAGCTTTTAAATTTTTCTTGAATACAAACGATTCAGTTTCATAATATCGTTTCTGATCTCGTCTTTTCTGCAACACGCTCGCAATTCAGACGCACCATATACAGATCTGAAGTAACAAAATTAAAAAGGTACTACAATTGTAAAACCAAATCGACCCAATTGACCATAATTGTCATAATAAAACCGTTCAATTCTGCCATGAATTATGTATTGCATTTAAGACTGACCGTCAGACTTTCCTGTATGGATGGCATCTATCTCTTGATGACCCGGTCGTATCTAACGCTTACTAGAATTGATTATGCGACATACTGCGCAAATATAAAATCTTGCCTACGCTCGTGCACGTCGCAGCGTAATAATGAGTTGGCCGCTCACGTTAATATAGGTCAAACAAACTTTTCCATAAGCTAATATAGGCATTAATTCGGGAACGCGTGTTGTGTAAAATTACCCTTGGATCAGAATGCATTGCTTTGCGATTTCACCACCTCATGTGTAGTTATAGGTGTGCCTTTACGACGACTCGTCTTGTGGCAGCACATTACTTGCGGCCACCTATAGTGTGGTATTATATGCCAGTAACCACTTCTCTTGATGTGGTAAAGTGTAACGTATAATGTATCTTAAAGTACGATAGCTTTTTATATACAGAAAGATAATCACTGGAAAAAATCGGTCAGTTTATAGCCTACAATATGGTCAAGACAGTGTCTTTGCGGTTTAGTTACTTCAAAATATTACTTCAGAAGCCGTTGGTCTTCCATCCTCAGAAGCTCTCTGAGCCTCAGATCTAATGAGTACTTTGCATCATTTCTTATCTAGCCGGCAACCTCATAGCCCCAAATCAACATGAGCGCATTGTTTCCTGTCATCTCGTCATTAAACCCTGCAGCACCGCCCATTGCCGCGTCAAAAGCTAGTTCGGTCTCGGTTCTGGCTACCTCGGCCACTAAGTGGGATGCACGCCTCTCGCACGACCCCATTCACGACAACGCCTACTACGGCAAGTGTATGATCGGCGGTATTCTGTCGTGTGGCCTCACTCATACGGGTATCACCCCACTGGATGTGGTAAAGTGCAACATGCAGGTTAATCCGGCGAAGTACAATGGCTTGCTGCCTGGCCTAAAGACAATCGCCTCGGAGGAGGGTGCTGGCGCTTTGTTTAAGGGTTGGGCCCCGACTGCAATCGGGTATTCGGCCCAGGGTATGTGCAAGTTTGGATTTTATGAATTCTTCAAGGACACGTATAGCACAATGGCCGGAGAGGAGAATGCTTACAAGTACCGTGGTGCTATCTATTTGGCTGGTTCCGCCTCGGCTGAATTCTTCGCTGACATGGCTCTCTGCCCAATGGAAATGGTTAAGGTAAAGGTACAGACCTCGCCCGCTGGCACGTTTCCCATCGAATTCGGTGCTGCTGTAGCCGCAATGAAGGCCAACTCAGCTGAAACTCGCTTCCCCTTTGGCTCACTGGTGCCCCTGTGGTCGCGCCAGATTCCCTACACGATGGCCAAGTTCTTTTTCTTTGAAAAAGTCGTTGAGACCTTCTACACATACGTGTTCACTGAGCCCAAAAGCTCGTACCCCAAGAGCACGCAGCTTGGTGTCACTTTTGCCTCGGGTTATTTAGCTGGTGTTATTTGCGCCATTGTGTCGCACCCCGCCGACTCAGTTGTCTCTCTAATGGGCAAGGCGGAGAATAAGGGCAAAGGATTTGGTCAGATTGCTAGCGAAACCGGTCTGGTCAACCTTGCGACCAAGGGCCTGGGCACGCGTATAATTATGATCGGCACGCTGACAGGTGCTCAGTGGTGGATTTACGACACGTTCAAGACAGTCATGGGCATGGGTACGAGCGGTGGTGCTGCCCCTAAGAAGAATTAAATGCGCATTTTGGTGATGAAAGCGATATAACCGGTCAACCTTTTCGCAATTGTTTCCGTATCGCTGAGCTTTGATAGAGATGGGGTATCAATGTTGCTGAGAGAAGCCCGACGGTGGAGAGAATGCAGGACCTTTACCGCTTTTCTGAGGTAATAATTTTGAGGCTAGGCGCTTACATAGCTATGTGCAATGAAGAAAATGAAGCCTTGCAAACCACAAAATGAAGTGCTCATGTCAATCATAATTTGCAGAGGTCTTGAGCAAGACACATTTCATGCTAATCATGACGCAATTCATTGCGGTCGGTCTTGGCACCCATGGCAACAAAAATGCAATTGGGCAGTGATGACGAGTTTCACTTGAGGTACACAAACACCAGATCTAGTCTAGTAATTATTGTACACCCACTTCTACGTACTCCTTTAATCTTGTAGCATATCCATGGCTTAGCGTTCTCACGTACCGGTGCATCCCACGATCACGAGAAGAAAAGCGTGTGCACAGCCATTATGACAAGTGCAGTAGCCACATATTGACTTTTGCGCTCCCCAATGCGCGAAGCTTTCCAGCAAAGCCCACCGAGACCCTCGTGCTTTCCTGGCAGCTGACCACGATCGAAGAGCGTAGGGAATTTCATCTTGATATAAGTACACGTACAGATGAAGAGTAAAATCACAGTAAGCAGACCCTGCAAGCTAAACAAAGCCGACTACAAATCAAAAAGCAAAGCAGAAGGGTTAGATCTTCCTATTCTCAACGCTACTAACTACTTCCTTTAGCTGAGATGACTGACTTCCTTACCATCTAATCTTTGGAAGAAATTGCGAGTTAATGTTGATGTGCTAAATATAGTCCTTAAAATCTTTATTTTATAAGGAAAACTGAATCTGACGTGGCCCACAGAAATAAGATGACCTATCAACAAAACACATAAATACCTATACGATTGGACGGGCGACATCTAATTGATGTGCGGCTGGGGGGGACTCGACCCGCCAATTCATACGAACTCAGACACGGAAGTTCCTGAGCAACTTGAAATAGCCGATACAATGATGAACCGCGCCAAGTTGTTACAACGCGCTGCTAAGGTTCGTCATTGCTTCAATTAACTCGTGTATTATGTGTGATGGCATTATCACCTCGTTTCTGTTAGCAGCAGCAAATTAATGCTGCCTCCGGTTGATGGGGCTGAACCACAGCTCACATTCTGACTTTAAGACTTAAACTACATTGTGTTCGTGCTGTTGCAGATGGGTGCTGGAGCTCTTTTGGGAGGATCGATTGTTACTGGTGTCACCGCCTTCAGCAGCGACCAGATCGAGGCGCTGCACTACGGGTTCGACCACCAGGGTCCGTTATCCTCGTTTGACTACGCTAGTGTACGCCGCGGGTACCAGGTGTACCGCGAGGTATGTGCATCATGTCACAGTTTGGATCGCATTTGCTTTCGCAACCTGGTTGGCGTTACTCACACAGAAGAGGAAGTAAAGGCGATGGCGGCTGACATTGATGTCATCGACGGACCTAATGACGAGGGTGAGATGTTTGAACGTCCCGGTAAACTTTCGGACCCCCTTCCCCGACCGTATCCAAACGACGAAGCGGCTGCGGCTGCGAATAATGGTGCTATTCCACCGGATCTTTCATTGATGGTTAAGGCGCGTCATGCTGGCGCTGATTACCTTTTTGCGCTACTGACGGGGTATGTCGACCCGCCTGAGGGAATGGAACTGCTTGATGGCCTGTACTATAACCCTTACTTTGGTGGCGGTGCTATTGCCATGGAGCGTCAGTTGCAGGACGGTCAAATTGAGTACGAGGATGGCACGCCGTGCACGACTTCGCAGATGGCTAAAGACGTGTCGGTATTTCTTTCATGGGCGTCTGAGCCTGAGCACGACGTGCGAAAGAAGCAAGGAATGCAGGCGACCATAGCTTTGGTGGCGCTGTGCGCACTCACGGGGTACTACAAGCGCCTCAAATGGGCGCCGCTAAAAACCCGAAAAATAACCTACACCAAGTAAGGCAACAGGTTTATCCAATGCACGTGATTCGAGGTACATGTAAAGTAGGAAGGTATCGAGACCTTTTGCTTTGGTTTGTTACTCGCCCAAACGAAGGGAGTGAGTGATCAAACAGATTATCTTGAATCTTTTTTTAGAGTGGAAAAAAGCCTAAAAAAGCTTGACAATTAGCAAGTACGATGCATGAGTGATCAAATGCGGGAATAGTAGACAAGAAAGAGTTGTGCATGGGTCTTTAATTTGACGAGGTAGCGCTTGATGTAAGATGGCATTAGATTTTCAAAAAGACACAAACAAACAAACGAATGCAGAGTTTAGCTACTAATCTCGGCATAATGAACTAAACTTGAGAAATGTGCAAAATACCCAAAAGAGGAGTCAGCAAGTTTGTTTTTGCACGACATTAAAGTACTTACTTTGAGTCTATCATATTTGAAGGGGTGTTCACTTCGAATGGCTGGTGTTGCAGTTTTCGCTTGTAACCTGATTATCTCGTTGTAGTCGAGCAATATATTAAAGAAACAGCATGGGCAAGTCAAAAGTCATTCGTGTTGGCCACGACGCGCCACACCAGGTGAGCATAGTTTATACCGTCCTGGCCATTTATTTGCATTGAATTAACACCTTCAACACTAATGAGCAGCCTGATGTGGAGAGCGAGAGCAGCTACAGCTTTGTTGAACTGTCGAAGCGCCGAATGAAGGTCAAAATTCAAAGTTTGACCGATGACGAGATCGTGTTAGACCTCATAGGCGTAGATGCCGCGATTGCCAATGCACTACGCCGCATTCTGCTTGCCGAGGTACCCACTATGGCTATCGAGCACGTATATATTTGGAACAACTCGTCCATCATTCAGGATGAAGTATTGGCTCACCGTTTGGGCCTTGTGCCGCTCAACGTTAACCCTCGCGAGTTTCAGGCATTTCCAGACAATGAAGAGGCTGAAGCTACTGACGAGAACACTATCGTCTTTAAGCTGGATGTCACCTGTACATTTGACCCTGATCACCCAAAGGATCCTACCAAAGCAATTCACTCTTCCGGTGCGCTTCATTCATTTTTGTGCGTGTACCAGCAGCATGTATGATATATTTCTAACTCTTTCCATTACTGTATTTTCTGTTCACGCAGTGTACTCACGCGATCTTGAGTGGGTGCCGCAAGGAAACCAGGAAGAGCGATTTGGCCTGATCCGTCCTGTAAACGAAGAGATTTTGATTGCAAAGCTACGGCCCGGCCAGAGCATAGCATTGGAGGCCCACTGTCGCAAGGGCGTAGGTAAAGATCACGCCAAATTTTCCCCTGTTGCTACAGCGTCATATCGCTTGATGCCCAAGGTGGAGCTTATAGAAAAGATAGAGGGCGCCGATGCGAAGCGTTTAGTGAATGAATGCCAGATGGGCATTTTTGACGTTGAGGACATATGCGGGATTTCAACGGCCGTAGTAAAAAATGAACGTTCGTGTACGATGTGCCGAAACTGCATTCAAGAGCCTATCTGGAACGAAAAAATTCGTCTAGGACGTGAGATTAATCACTTTATCTTCACCATAGAGTCCGTCGGTATGATCAAGGCTGAGGAGCTGTTGCTGGAGGCTCTAAATGTGCTCGTACATAAGTGCAATATTTCCCTTGAATCGTTTACGCAATTGGACGAGGTTGAAGATATGGTTAATGACGGAGAAGAGATAGCTTAGACTGACTATGATAGAACTTTTTCCGCCTGACAAGTGAATATACGCATGCACACATCAATCTACTTATGTATACTCAGCCTCAATTTGAATTGTCATATTTGCCAATTTAGCTAGTCACTTTATTGCAGCAGCCATCTTATTAGGTCACAAAGTCTGTCAGGGGGCGAGGGGCATCCAGGTCTCAATTTTGCATCGTTCTCTTATCATATCCTTCAATTTTTCTGATTCAGGAAGACGGATGCAGCGCGGATGCCAGCGAACACGAACACAACTTTTGACAGGTCCCAAGCCACTGCCTTCATCTGCTTGGTGCTGTCCATCTGCGGTTTCTTCTTTTTTAGCATAAACATCTCGGCTTGACGAATGAAACAAAAGACGTGACCAGCTTTTTTGGCCACAGATGACAGGCTGACAAGGCGAGAAATACCATCTACCACACGAAATTTACACCGAATTTGATCGTAACATTATACCACTTATTTATTATTAAGCAAAATCTGGCTCCAACCCTGTCCAAATTTGGCTCATCCTTTTAATCTACTGATCATTATTATGTCTCCGCCCAACGATTCAATCAACAGCAGTAGATGCCTAAGGAGGTAAAATAAAAATCGTGATGTATGTTAGCTAGGTCCTTAATTCGCGATGCCTGCACTACGTCCAAGCCTATTCATATCAATGCTATACGAGATGATCAACTGACTATCAATCGAATCTATCGTGATACACATTCTCTTTGTGTCGTCTCTGTCATCTGATACGTCTCCGTCACTGTTTAATCCAATCCGTGCTCCTGCTTGTACCCAAGTACTATAAGACGCGCTTCGAAACGCTTACTTGTCGTTTGATTGCAATTACCCACTTGGTCCCGATCAACTTTTAATTGCATCCGACATGTATTACTTCTTAAGATGTATTAGTTTATTTTTAGATATCCTTGTTTTATTTGTGTTTTGAGTACTTCGTCGTATGTCGTTGGGGCCTCGAATGCTGCACATGTGCTTTCATACAATACGCAGTCGCTCCGTACCCCGTTCTTAACAATCTTTATTCATGTGATGCAAACTTTTCTTGAAACCCTTGAAAGGTACTAGAGCTTGGAAAGATCCACTTGTTTGTGATACATACGATTTTGTCTCCTTAATGGCTCCGTAGCCTCGTGGCGCTCGGTGTTTTAACATTATTCTACATTCTTTTCAAAAAGATTCGACAATGGCCTAGCAACTTCCGCATAGTTGTGGCTATTCTTATGCAAGTAAATTTCCAAACCCAACCACTTCGGATGTCCCGTTGGTACCTCGGAATCGGGTCTACCTGGTCGACCTGATTGTCTACCAAGTCGACCTTATTGGTCCTCGACCGGGACGACGTGGTCATTACTGAAGTTGTTTTCAGTATGGTATCTCATCTGGCACAATACAGTTACCAAGAGTGTGCCTTAGAAACTGTATTGTGCCGGATGAAATACGATACTGAAAAGTCTCACCGTTGACCAATCGTCATTCTGAGCTGAGTCGACCTGCTGGTTTTCCGGTTCAACCCGATAGTATACCTGGTCTATCTGACCAGTCTTCGGCTGGAATGTCATAGTCATTACTGGGACGGGTACCCTTGATCGCTTAAGTATTCTAGATGGAATACTGTACTGTGATGTCTCCACCAATGGCTCTTCATCCTTCTCCGTCAGATCCTCCTCATAGTCGACCTGGTCGTTGGTAGATTCATACACCAGATTCAGCCATTCGGCATATCTTCGAAACCCCACCGATACAAAGCCCTGCGCCTTGGTACTTAGTCCTTCATTAACCACATTCCTAACTTAGTGTCCTCGTGTTGGGCACTGACTCTAGTTACCTTCAGGAACTTCCGACTTCCTACCCTTGGTTCATTGTCGTGACCCACCGCTCTACTCTTGTGACCCACAACTTCTATTGATCCGAGGTCAACCTTTTCAGACGCACTTCCACGTACCCTCCGGATAGTACACACAAGAGCAGACCTATTTCGTATCCACATCAATTATAGCTTGGTCTGTTACAACTTGCATACCTACACTTGGTCCCGGATAAGCCATCGATCTCAGCGCCCTCTGTAGCCCTCTGGCCGCACTTCTATCAACGTGTGTTTGCGGTACTTGGCGTTCTAGTAGGAATTTTTCCATCGCCGCGCCGACGTATGCCTGTAAATTGCCTACCGGGTTGGTTGGCGATCCTCCCTAAGCAGCTTCGTCACGTGAAGGAGAAACATTCGATACTAGTTCTGGCTTTTTTCTGATTAGATAAAAGAGTTGACACAATAGAAGACTGACTTCCATGGGCTGTACACGCGTTGCCGTTTCGTAAGCTTGCTGCTCGTCTTCCGTCGCTCGGGCCTGAAGCAGTATCATGCCAGTCGGTCTTAGCGGCATTCGGCTCACGTGGCTAACGACGGACGACCCTCGCGACGATTGCCTCGCAGGGACCTGAGGACCACGAGGCAAGGTGGTCTGTAATAGACCTCGGTCGACCATTGCCTTGGAGGGTGGACCTCGATGTCTTGCAGGGTCATCTGGCTGTCAGCGGATGCTGCCTTCGCGGCGGTCGCCGGAGGTATGTCGAGTAGTACTGGGGTTGTTCCAATGAGGATCCTCAAATGTTTGTGAAGAATTTCAAACATGGTCTTGATACGTTCGAACCCCAGGTAAAACAAGTCTTCAGACTCGAACCTTAATGCAACCATACCCGCCTCACGAAGAAAGGTAACGAGCGTGGTGATCGCGTCTATCATCATCCTCAGCTTGGGAAGAGTCGACACGGGTGCACTGATTGACCCAGCAGTCGGATCTCGAAAACTTTGGTGACGGGGTCACTTTCCAAGAACGCGTCAGGCTTGGGCTTTAGTGGCTCTTCGGTCTTTTCCTCAATATTTTTTTGAACATCTTCATCTGCTTGGGACGCGCGGTGTTATCCCGCGTCTTCCGCAGGTCCCGGCACGCGCACCATTATGGTGGAGTGGGTTCTAAAACTTCGTAATGAGACCCCTAGCCACTCACAGTTCCAGACTTCCGACTGTCGGAGGGGGTACCCCGATGCCGCATATAGACCTTCTCTCACCGTGTGTGTACGTCAGCTGGCGGGCTGCACTCTTCGGAGGACTTGGTTGAGATGTGATGTCAGCCTTGAGAGAGGTCGACCTTGGGTGCCTTGAGTGGATATACTTCACTCGGTAGGCGGGTAGGTGGCCACTCGGTCGACTAGGTCGAGGGTAGGCTTATACCCAAATTAAGTCAGGGGAGATTCTCAACCCTGGCCTTTTACTTAGTATCTCAACCGCCTGGCCTTTACTTGCTCCCAAAACACTAGGGTAGAGAGACCGATGCCGATAGCGGGATGATTGTGGGGGGAGTGCTACTCAGACGAACCCACAGGTCAAATATACCCTGATGCTCTATTCACTCTTGGGTCTTACCAAAAGACTGTCTTAAACGGGGAACCAATATGTGGTGAAGCGTATTCAGAAGTTGGAAGCCCAAGGACTTGTTGATCTTTGTATTTCGTCAATTGACCTCGGTCCCTCAAGGTAGACCTCGGTTATTTGTCGGTGGAACCTCGACCTTGGTCCCTGGAGGTAGACCTTGGTTTTTTGTCAATAGACCTTGGTTTTACGTCAATCGACCTTGGTCCTTCGTTGATAGACGTTAGTGCTCCGGTCGGTGGACCCTCGACCCCGGTCCTTGGGAGTCGATCTTGGTCCTGAATCAATTAACCACGGTCCTCAGCCGATAATTGATGACCCTTAGGTCGACGAACTCTCGGTCCCTCGGTCCCAATACTCTCGGCCTCTCGGTCACTTGGTCTCTCGGTCCCTGGACTCTCAGCCTCTTGGTCACTTGGTCTCTCGGTCCCTGGACTCTCGGCCTCATGGTCTCTCGGTCCTGGACTCTCGGTGTTCTGGCCACTCGGTCTCTCGGTCTCTGGACTCGGCCTCCCGGCCTCTAGGTCCCTCGGTCGATATGACCTATCCAATTAGAATCAAGAATCAGGTCTCAGGATAAAGATAGAGCACTGGAGTTAAAAGATAGGACTACATAGAATACTACTCAGTTTGCGATCTACCTGGCACGCTTTCGTCGAGCTTAGAAAGAACTACGTAGGTCTACCCACCTATTACGGGATATATTTTGGCCCCCCGTTGAAGACAGTCGTGGGGTAGAACCTATGGTTGAATAGAGCATCAGGGTATATTTGACCTGTGGGTTCGTCTGAGTAGCACTCCCCCCACAATCATCCCGCTATCGGCATCGGTCTCTCTACCCTAGTGTTTTGGGAGCAAGTAAAGGCCAGGCGGTTGAGATACTAAGTAAAAGGCCAGGGTTGAGAATCTCCCCTGACTTAATTTGGGTATAAGCCTACCCTCGACCTAGTCGACCGAGTGGCCACCTACCCGCCTACCGAGTGAAGTATATCCACTCAAGGCACCCAAGGTCGACCTCTCTCAAGGCTGACATCACATCTCAACCAAGTCCTCCGAAGAGTGCAGCCCGCCAGCTGACGTACACACACGGTGAGAGAAGGTCTATATGCGGCATCGGGGTACCCCCTCCGACAGTCGGAAGTCTGGAACTGTGAGTGGCTAGGGGTCTCATTACGAAGTTTTAGAACCCACTCCACCATAATGGTGCGCGTGCCGGGACCTGCGGAAGACGCGGGATAACACCGCGCGTCCCAAGCAGATGAAGATGTTCAAGAAAATATTGAGGAAAAGTCCGAAGAATTACTGGACGACCGATCGTCAGTGACTACACAAGGAAACAACAACGGATCGAAGGACCGACCGGACCTTGGGAGGGCCCGATTAATATGGTCAATGTTAAACTTATTGAAAAGAAACCGAAAAACCCTCCCTATGTCCTCGTCGAGGAAACCTTGGGTCATGATAGCTATCATGCCCCAGAGGGCAATCAGTCGAAGGTGCAAACCTATAGACTATTGTCCCCAGAACTAAGAATGTTCAAAAAACTA